AAAATAAGAACCAAGATGCATTATATAAAGGTACAATTCCCAATGAGAAATGTAATTGTGTTGTACACCTACAATGTACCAATAAAAGAATTTAATTAAAAAAAAAAATATGACTCTCTAAGGCAGTGATGGAGAACCTTTTGGAGCTTTCAATGATACAAATAGCTCTCTGTGGCATGTGTGCCATAGGTTCGCCACTGCTCTAGGGTTTAAAGAGAAAGTACACATTCTAAAAAATAATACTGCTTTTAAACACAAGCTTTTAAACACAAACAATATAATCTGATTTTCTAATATTGATTATTGCATGTCCAAATATTGGCTTATTAAGGGATTTTTCAAGAGTAATTTTGAATATATGAAATTTATTAATCTAATCATCGAATAAAACATATCTCTGCTTACTGCACCAACATTCTAATTATCTAGTTTAGAATAGCTGTAAATCTGAAGAATCTAGAGTAGACTTATTTTGTTATTTATGTTTTAGTAGATGAGTTTTTTAAACAGCAGGCAATTCTTTAACTTTTCTAAATAAATTTATTTTCCTTTTTGCAATTTAAATATTTTAGAAGTATATGCTATTTAATAGAATTAGTCAATATTAAATTAATTCATAATGACATTGGAGGAAAAAGGGTAATAATTATTCATGAAAATAACTCACTGGCACAACTGTAAGAAAGCTTGTTTTAAATGTAAACCCAAGAATTCCATTATAAAATTAGCTTATTTTGATTTCTGAGAATTGCACATTTTTCATGATTTAATTCCCTTCTCAATTCACAAGACAAAGGGTATGCACTTCCTGTGACTATATTTACTAGAAGGGCAAAGGGCATATTTAACTTTCTAGAATTTTGTACTTTGTCCATTGCCATAATTGGCTACCTTCTTGAACAATCACATTGGTCTAAATTAAAGATTATGTAGTGTTATGGTTTATATCTACCCTCTTTACCCAGATACCATAAGACCTAGCTAGAAAATAATCAGCCTTGAAAACTAACAATCAAAAATGCCAGCCCCAATTAGCCTACCCTTGTCTTACCTGCAATCACTATTCTCTTGCTCAGTCACTACTCTGTAAGACAGGTAAGGCAAAGATAGGCTGGAAATTTTGATTGCTAGTTTTCAAGGCTGATTATTTTTTAGTTAGGTATTATTTTCAGGAAACACAATAGATGTCCCCCTGAAGGTTCATGTGCTGATAGGTAGGACTTTGTGTGATACTCATCTCTGGATCAGTCCGTTGATGCCTTTATAGCTGGGTATAATATTTAGAGGTAAAGTCTGGTGGGAAGAGGTAGGTCACTGTGGGTGTGGTGGCCTGGAAGAGTGTGTGTGTGTGTAATATACAAAGATATATATATATATATCCCTCCTCTCTTGATCCCTCTCTGCTTCCTGCCTGCTACGCCATAAACTGTTTCTCCTCTACCATGCCACCTGCCTTGGAACCAGCCAACTATAGACTAAAATCTCTACAATCTGTGAGACAAAATAAACCTGTCCTCCTTTAACTTGTGGGTGTTGGGTATTTTGTCCCAGTAATAAGAAAGTAACTAAGACATGTAGCTTAAGATTTGCTAAAATACTAGATGCCCTTGTTCTTTGGAGCCAACCATATCTTGCTAATGTTATTGGCACCAGCTCCCTTTTACCGATCATGTCTCAATCTGTCAGTTGCTGTTTTTAGATACTGTCTCTCCCATAGACTATTTCATTTATCTGAAATACTATTCCTTCCAAATTAAGAAATAAAATTTAGACACAGCTGGCTCACTGCAAAGTGGTGGTAGGACCCCAAAGTATGGTTGTATGTCTTCAGAGAGAGGTAAGTGGTTGAAGCTATTCCAAAAACACTGGAGTTACTCAGTTCTTAGCCTCTGGCAGGTTTCTTCAATAATTAAAAGAGTAAAATTTTGCCATTAGTTCCCATGCACTGAAATCTTTGGGAGACTCTTCTTCTTACCCAAGTATATTATTTTACAAATAAGATTTTTGTACCAATTTAAAAAATTCAAATTTGGGCTGGGGGTTTAGTTCAGTGGTTTCGCCGCCTGCTGTGCAGGCACAAGGACCCGAGTTCGATCCCCAGTACCAAAACAACAACAAAAAAATTCAAATTAAAAAGTTCAAATTTTGAGTTTTTTAATGTAGGTGAAATAATGACTACTCAGAAGATTACCAGTAAGTTAAGGATTAAACTTTACTTAAATGTGTAAATATATAACAAAGTGTGCATAAGCAGAGTAACAACACACTGGTAGAATGACTATAAGGTAAAGAGAAAGAAAAGAAGGGCCAGGGATTTAGCTCAATGGTTCCACCTCCTGCCCTGCAAGTGAAAGGACCTGAGTTCGATCCCCAGTACCAAAAAAAAAAAAAAAAAGAGAGAGAGAGAGAAAGAAAAGAAATGGTGAAGAAATGAGGAAAGACTTATTATGGTTTGGATCTTCGATATCCCCCAAAGACTCATATGCTAAAGGCTTGGTAGCCAGCTTGTTGAACCACTGGGAGGTGGTAGGGCCTAGTGGAAGGAAATTGGGTCACTACATGCTTGCCCTTGAAGGAGATAGTGGGAACCCTGGCTCCTTCCTCTCTCTGCTTTCCCAGGCACCATGAGGTGAACAGCTTTCCACTACCACACACTTCTGCTGTGAGGCACTACCGCACCACAGAACTGAAGATCAATGTACCGAAACCTCTGAAAGTATGATCAAAAATAAATCTTTCCTTCATAGGCTGATTGTCTTGAGTATTTTGTCACAGTGATGGAAAGCTAACCACGAGGCTATGCTGTGACATAGCACTCAGAGGTTCTCATGTAATAGAGGTCTCGTTTTAACCCTTACAAATCTCATCTTGTGTTATGAACAAATGTATAATCTCATTAAAATCTTATTTACATACAATGCTGAGGTATTCTGGAAAAAAATTCACTCTAAAGGAAGATGAAAGAAGTATAAAAATCTTGATCCAAAATCAAAGCCTTACTTGGTTGAGAAGGAAAGTGATTTTGAGTATGGTATGATAGTAGTCATTCTAATCCACTCTGACCTAGTTTTATGGTCTTACATATGGTTCCCGAGAAAAGAGAGGGCTATAGGTAGAAACTGATAAATATTTCACCAATAGTTCTAAGGGTTGTATCATTAGCTTCCCTGCTTTTCATATGATGTTATATTCCAAACGATAGGTAAGTTTACAGGGACTGCTTTGGATTTTGATCCCTTAAGGATTCTGGCACTTTAGTAGTATTAATCAGTGAGGGAGAGAAACAGAGCAACTGGACAAAACATGTTCACAGGTATATATGAGAAAAATTTTTGGAGAATACAAATTATGCACCAATCTCCATTCTTAATGTCTGATTGGGGCCTAGCTAGAATTAAAAAAAAAAACCCTCAGGATTCTTGTGGAACTTTTTGCATCTGTAAGTGAAGGCAAAAGCTATAAGATGGGGGCCTCATTTGAATCAACCCTGGCAAAACTTAGGGAAACTCAGGTTATGCTTGAAACCGTTTTTTAAAAAATTTTTTATTAATAAATGTTTGCAGTAAATAATGACATTCCCTGTGGTGAGTTGGTACATGTACATAATACATCTTAATTCTTTTTTCAGCCCCTTCCTCTCTCCTTCCTTTCCCTTCCTTAATCCTCTTCCCATTTGAAAAAAATCTCACTCTTTCCTATTATCTATGCCTTATTTTTCTCTAAATTTCTATTTCAGGTTTCTTATAGAAGAGAAACCATGCAATATTTAAGCTTGTGTGTCTGATTTATTTCATTTAACATTATGGTTTCAAGGTGCACCCATTTTCCTACAAATGAGTTAGGTTTATCCATCTTTACGGAAGAGTAGTTTTCCATTGTGTGTAAATACCACATTTTCTTCATCCATTTATCTGTGAATGGACATATAGCCTGTTTGAAAATTTAGCTATTATGAATTGTGGTGCTATGAA